GGCACATTAACTAGTATCTAATAAAAGGAACAGGAAACATTTTTAAGCCTTTCTCTTCTCCTGGGACCTGATTTTTGGCAAACGTTTGTCCTCCATGAAAAACTAAATGTCCTTGACTAGTTGTGTAGTTCTGTTAATATACAAAGGTAAATAGCTGAGAGTAGTTGTGAGTTTTTTTTTTTTTAATATTATTTTTATTATTATAGTAACAAGATTGAAGCCAGTAGACTGAAGCCAGTAGACATATCGGTATGTGGAAAAAAATTGCCTACCTTGTTCACATGATCTTTACAGAACAGGGTGATTGAAGCAAAGATTACCATAGCCTCCTACTTATATATTTTTATTTTTTTTTTCTATTTTTCAAAGAAACTGGGTTAAATTTTAGTTTAGAATAACATTTTTTAAATGGAGGAGAAACACTTTTAGTGTGCCTTTACACCATAAAATCCTGTTTCAACTCTGTTTCCTAGTGCAATTTGTCTGCTGCACAGTGTGGTACCTGTTGGTATTTTAGTGGTTATTTGCCTGAAAGTTACCTCATGGCAACTTATCAGCCATGTCATTTGGCCACATGGAAAAGTACAGGAGCTGACAGCTATCTCTTATCCTTTAAGACAATGTTTATGGCATTTAGGTATACTAAATGTTTGCTTTTATAAGAAACAGTCACACTAAATGTTTGCTTTTATAAGAAACACTCAAAGAGGATTAAAGTGCAAGTTGCTATTCAGAAACACAGGCAGAGAAATGGATAGGCTTTCCTGCTCTGTATTTAAAAACAGCAAGTTTCTGGAAATAAAATAACAGTGTATTATTTTGCAGGTATAATGAATCGGTTAACTACTGTTGAGACTCCAAACTACTATTCAGGCTCCAAACAGTTGGACTGTATGTGCGCTTTGGGAGATTACTGAGTTCTTGAAACAATGTCTTTAAAAATGAACTGTGAAACTCTTGTCTATAGGCAGCTTCATTTCTGCATGCAGCTCTGAATGTCTCGGCATGCCTGATGCTCCATTTCCTTAAATACGCCTTTATTATTCCCAGTTGTCTAAATTTTGGAAGATTTTAGCAGCAAGTCTGAATTGTGGTTTTCCAGTAGTGGAAAAAAACTGTAATAGTTGACCTCTTTTGTGCTTCTAGATCATGTCAGAATCAATGGAAATATTTTAAAATTGTATCACATGGATTGGTGTCTGTTCTAGTCCATGTCACTTGGAAGTATTTTCAGTCCTTTCTCTGAGTAGCTTCTTCGTGTTTTAATGCTAGTCTATCTACCATTTTATTGCTGCTTATTACCATTTCAGCAACAGCTTGTTTGGTATATGAATGTGCTGTGAGTGTCCAAGCTTTACATTTAAAACAAATTGTTTTGGTGTTGGTTGCTTGCAGGAATATCCCCCAAACCCAGTAAGCAAATAGAAAACCATTAAAAAGTCCATAATCCACATTCTAACAGTATCTTTTTTATTCTTTTTAATGGTGGTGAAGAACAGTAAAATTTGTTTTTGTAACACTTAGTATCAGGTAAAATCATGAACTAAGTTTAAATCTCTTTAAACTGTGGACTACATACTGTGTCATTTAGCCTGGTGTGCTTTTGGGGCCCAGCTATAATAAAGTGGTTTAATTTGTGTCATCTACTGTGCTTTTGCTCATTTTAGCTAAATATAAAAGACTTTTGAACTGATTCGCTTTCACATTTACCAAACTCTTGAGTCCTTTGGTATACTTTTTTCAGGAGAATGTTTATATTGACTGTTCAAATTTATAGTTAGAAAAAGCATTTTCTGGTCTATCTAAGCATAGCATTGTACTGAGTGATGGGGAAGATCTTCTGGAGACTGCCATCTATTCTAAAGTTTGCTGCCTGCAGAGCTCTGAAATGCTGAAAGGTCTTGGCACAAAATTATAAGCAAGCTCAGTCTTGGAGTGTGCATGTACTTGCTTGTAGTTTTTCAGAAGCAGGGAAAAGCTTCTGGTCAGCTTTATCTTATTATTTCACAAACAGCACAGAACTTTTTCAAACCGTGCGATCTTGGCAACCTCTCTTCCAGTGCTTAGAGAGAGGAGAATCCTGATTGCAACAACATTTCTTTAAAATTCCTTATTTCCCTCTCTCCTTGCATCAAAGTCATTCAGTTATTCTTCTCATTCTGTTAATTATTGCAGTTTTCTTGTGAGAAAATATACTTAAGTGCATGAAGGAACACAATAGTTTGAATGTAGTTCATAATGTAGTAGCATAATTTCTGTTTAAAAGCACACTTAGGAATTTGAAAATATTTGGTATGTTTAGCTCAAATTCTTTCTAGGTTTTAATTCTCTTTTACCCTTTGACAGGAAAAAGGAAATATGCTTACACAATGCACATTCTGCCAAAGTCACTGAGCTTACAGTTGTTACAGAATAATAAAACATGTACTTTTTAGCTCAGTAAAATGGATGTAAGAAACATATAACCTTGAGCTGATATCTCTCTCTGTTTTTTATTTTACATTTTACCCAGTATGGATTTTTGATCATACTGAAAGAAGTGTGAAATAGACTGTAAATAAATTAAGGAAGCTGAGTGGTTTTTTGTTAGCTTGTTTTTCTTTGTTTCAATTTTAGCTGTCTTAAATTCAACTTTTGATCAGTTGATTTTCACCTGAAAGTGGTCTTGAGGTGTCTTTTTGAAATTTGCAATTGTGAAAATCTAGGTGCTGTGGAAGCACAAATATATTTTTGTACTGGCCTGTTTACTCAGCAGTTTCCCCTATGCATGCCTTAGCATCTGCATGTATGGTCCTCATTGATCACAGCACGTTGTTTGTGAGTAATTGTTTTCTTTAGGTAACTCATCTTGGCTCATAAATACAGGCTGGGTTTCCTTTCTGTTTCTTTACTTGTATTGGAACCAATTCTCGATGCTAACGTTTGTGTACTTTGCTTCCTGTCCATACAGCTGGGATTTGGGTGTACAATTTCGGTCTTTATTGCTGTTTGAAATTTCTGGACAAAGAATAGGAATAGGAATCAAGATATGTAATCACAACGATCTTTACTGTAAATTTGAGGGAGAGAAAAAGCCGGTGTCCTATTTAATTGAAGGCCTCTAATAGTTTGAATTTTACTGTGGCTTATTTCTATTTGAAATCAGTTTCTTGACTCTTAATTTTTCACACTGATAATGCAGAGTGCTGGCAGAGCAGTGTTTTTTGCAAGGATATTTTTCTTTAGAAAATATCTTTCTTTCAGAAGACTACCATGAACAGATTTAATTTAAAAACTGTAAATCCATCTATATTTGGTCAGGAATTCAGTTTCGAGACTGTGCATTGAAGGACTATGTGAGAGAAGGACTCTAGGAGGAGCTATATGATGGGCAGGGACTTACACTATGCTTTTATTTTTATTATTAATATGATGTAACCAAGTATATACAAGTATTTTTAATTATTGTAGAAGAGTGTGACATATAAATACCTGCCAAGGAACTCTTTTTATTAGTTCACATTATTATTTTAAAATACCCTGTCAGTTAGGAGGGTTGTCAGAATTCAGATTTGGATACCCCTATATAGTTCTGATCTGCAAAGCCTTTATGAGTCTTTTATAAAGTGTGTGGTTTTGTTTTTTATTTTTTTTTTCTCTCAAATGTTCATTTACGTGATAATTTGCTTTCCTAGCAGATAAAGGTGTGATCAGTTTTTGAAGAAAAATCAAATTGATTTTTTCCTTTCCCTTTAAGAAGTTTCCCCCAGCCTCCTAGCTATTTAAAATGTTCCCAATTGCTAACAAGTTAATTTAAGTTCATTTGCTTTAGATCTCTGAAATATTTCTACTAATTATTTTCTCAATAAACCTATCAACATGATACCTTTCTGCTGAGGAGGAAGGAAGACTGTATGAGATCAAAAAGTGTTTGTTTCCAACAAAACCCTTTAAAAGAAGAAAACACTATTCCTGAATGTTGAAGCAGGCTAAATAAAGTTTCTTGCTAGCTTTTTGTTCCTGCTCCTTGCTGCTAACTTTTTGCATGTAAAGATTAATGCGATGATTCTGTGGATCACTAAAGAAGCAGAGAATTCATTATTTTGCCTTCCCGCATTTAATGTGTGCATCCTGCATCTATGTAGAAATCATAGCTCATATTCTGTTGCAAGAGAGATGGGTTGTTCCAGTTCTGTTTGTTTCATAGCTTTATTTTCTTTCTTCTGGGTCAGTTGCTCACTCTGTCTTCCTTTTTGTCCATTAAGGGAATGAACTGAGCTGCAGAACGTTCTTCGAGCTTTGCTTATGTGATTGTAGAGTAGGAGTAAATGCAATGTTGCTGCTATTTCTCTGTCCGTCCTCCACTCGGGATCCTGCATGGTGTTGACAGGAATGATAAACATTCGTTGTCCTCTGACATGAAGAGGCGATTGCGAACATAGTTTACCATTTTATATTCTCTGCTGCTTGAGTTGCATCCAGAGAGAGGAAGGATTTTTGCCAGGAAGAAAGCAGTGCTGGAAATATAGTGTTTTTAGGCATAAATACATTTTGGTTTCATTCTTAGCTGATTGGTCTTCCTAAATCTGTTGTCTTAAGACAATGTATCATCATCAAGTCTTTGATAGTTGTTAGGATCGTTTACCCTTGGAACTCGTGCCCTTGTTACCCTCTTCAACAGAAAAATCACTGATATCTCTTGAGACATGTGGAGCCTTATATGTACATTTGCTTAAGACAAATACTTAGTATTTGTCATAACTTTGTTATAATATCAAACAAAGCTTACTACACAGTGAGAGAATAGCAAAACTCCCCTAGTGCAACCTTGCCTAATTAGGTGAAACTTGATCTAGCCTATCTTGTTCCTGTCACAACTGTGGCCTGTCTTGTTTCTTTAGAACATCTTATCACTGCTTGTCATTACCGCTTGAATTCATATGCCAGTAGACCGAAATATTCCATTTAAGTAGTTTTTCAGTGTAGTCGTTGCATAGAAACTGTTCTAGGTTTTAGCTCTGCACAATATATTTTTATTCAGTAGTATTTACAGCTATCCACATGAAGAATATTCTAAGGATGGTTCTCCAGAATATTATCAAAACGTCAAAAGAAAAATCTTGGCTGCCAGAAAAGACTGGACTGAACTCTAAAAATTGGAAGGACCGAGTTATAAAAAGGAAGGTGGGATTACTTCATGTTTATTTGCTGTAAAATAAAACATAGCATGTTTCCTTTTTATAAAATCTAACAGTGAGTCTTTATAGTGCATTAGAGTGTTTGTATGTATAATATTCCCAAAGAGATCATAAATGATTGCCTCATATAGGTTTGTTTCATATATGGAATGTCTAAAACTTGAAAGTTTATCTGTTATAATCTGTTATAAGTTCAGTTGGTGGTTTTTTTTTTGTTTTTTTTTGTTTTTTTTAAATTAGGTAGAAATCTGAGAACAAAACGGAACAGTCCCTTAATCTGCCACATAGGGATAAAACTATAGATGGTACTGGATGCCATTATCTTCTATTATGTGCAATTTCCACCCTGATGGAAGGAAAACTGTCTCCAGCTTCTCTCTCGTATCCCAAAAGAATCATTTTCTTTTCAGTTTTTACATTTTTGCCAAGTCAGTTAACATTGCTTCTAAGACAAAATGCCTGGTATTACCTGAAAGCAATACATCAAGTAATCAGTATTTTGTTAATATTTTCCACTCAGTGGGAGAAAGCTGTGGCAGTCTGTTCTTATTTTGGTCTGTTAAAAACAAAAGCAAGAGTAGCAATTATTTCAGTTGCAACTAGACAGATGGAAATGTGTGTGTCTAGATTTCATAAAAGTTGCTTCTGGTTTGTAAAATAAAACAGTGAGAAAGCAGTGGTCCGGGGCTGCAAAATTGCCTTTATTAGTTGATGCAAGGTGCAGTGTCTTTATTAAAGATGCTTAGTTTACAAGTGTTCTTATAGTGCCATGCATGAGAGACAAATATCTGTGTCTGTGGCCTACTATTATTACTAAGTTATTTCATATGCAGTAGTTCAGACAAAGTTTTCTGGAATCCAGTGTGTTTTGGATGACTTTGCTATAGCAGTGACAAGGTCGAATGCAAGGCTGTAGAAACATCAGCACCTCCCTTTCCCCAGTCCTGGCCAAAATATTTTTAATACCATGAGAACACTTAGTTCTCTGATACAAATTCTATTGGATGTTTCCGTCTCACGCTGGTCTTGAAGACTGAGTTGTCTTTCAGAAAAATAAACTCAAAACCTCATACTTAACCTTGTTTTTCAGCTTTGCTTTCAACCGCTTGCCAGAATAAGTGATCTTGAGATTGTAATGAATGCAAGTATGCGAAAATTGTGAATAGAACCTGTCCTCATGCTCATCAACAGTGAAAACATGCTGTTTTATTTTTTTAATCTGTTGTCTGGCCTTTGGTCTTAAGGCAGTTGTTTGTAATGTTGTTTTTTTAACTTTAATGAATGCAACTTTTTCTGAATGGGAGGCTGAGATTCTTATATAATCGAATGATATCTGAAGCTGAGTCATTTTGGAGTCATTTTCTATGGTTTTTAACTTACTGCCAATCCATGCGAGTCCTGCAGCACTGCAGTTGCATTGTTCTTTAAGAGCATGTCTTCCTAGTGTGCTTTGCAAAGTAAAATGTTTAGTAGTAACTATATATCCTTGAGTATCCTTAATGAAAATAGTGTCATAGGAAAATTCTTAAACTTCTGAGCTCCTGCTTTGAAGGAGATCAGTCTGCTGTATTACCCTGTGAAATTGGTTGATAGAGGCAAAGACTTGTTTGGAGTAGTCCTGTAATAAATCAGAGAATCCCAGTTTGCAAGTGTGGAGTACGTGCCTGTGTGTGAGGTGTGAGCCTGGTAAGGGTGGCTGGGAAAAACAGCATCAACTGATGAGAGCAGAGCCCCTCAAGAGCTACCAGTTTCCACCTTTACTTAGATATGCACTTCATGAAAAATAACTCATGGTCTTTTAGACAATGGAACAGAATAAACATGCAAAGGAAATCTCAAAACCTCCATCTGGAAAGAATAAAAAATCTCTCCTTCGGTTGGCTAGCAAAGAAATGTGCTCAGCAAGATGTTGGTGCGTCTAGAATTATCGCCACACTCTGAAGTCTCTTGCATGGTAACTGGTGTCTTGGCAGTCCTCTGGCAGAATTATTTGCATCAAGGAGCAACAACAAGATCTCTTGCTGTTCCTCCAGATGTAACAATTTAGGAATCAAGCCAACAGATAATACGATGCAGGGATGTTGAACTCATTCTGTAGCAAGTGCCAAATTACATTTTCCACTAGCAAACATAACAAGAGGCATGTTTTATAGATTTCTGTAACTTCAAGCTGTGTTTCTTCAGCTAATGACATTAAATATTGCACTTAAGCAGATTTTGTTTTAAATTAATAGTTTTATTTGTAATGCAACCTATTTTACTCTATTAACTGGTCCCTTTTCAGCTATACACATTTTTTCCCTTCTATAGCCACATGTTAACTTCCCTTCTTCTTAATTAATTTATCCAGATCCCAACTGCTGTTTGGTTTTAGAGGAACACTATGAATTTAAAATAAGGCATTCCAATGGAGTGACAAACAGCAAATAGCTTCCATAATGACAATGTGAGGAGCTGGCTGTGGTTTAGCACTGTAGCTTGTTAACCACCTCAAATATTATAGTCCTACACCAGTTTTCAGAATACACTCTATAATCTCTAAATGGTCATGTTGCCTTTCTCTCTTAGGCATCTGATAGAAGCTCCATTTGCTAGGTCAGTGGTTTTTCAGCCCTGTGCCTGCCTTGCTTGTCTCAGCCTGCAGAGCACCCATTTGAGTCTCGGGGTTGCTGGAGGCATTCATGTGTGTCAGTTTAGTTGCTCTCATTTCCCTTAGGTGTGTTCTAGAGCTCTGTAAGTCTCTCTGTACCTCCTGTTATATTTTCACTAATAGTCTGAGGACCTACATTAGTTAGCTGACTGCATTTTAATGTGTGGTGATAGTTGCTCTTTCTTTGCAAAAATGGTGGCTTATTCTTCCATTCTAGAAAACCTGTCTCACCATAAGGAGAAAAGGGCTGTAAAAAAAAAAAATCTGTAGCGTTTTATATTTCATTGATTAAGAGCAAGAAAGTATAAGTATCCCTTCAGCAACTAAATATCAGTGTTCTTGAAATAGATTTCGGACTATTTCTCACCTCATACATGGGGAAGGGGAAAATGCGTTAAAGGGTAGTATCCTCCTAGTGAAAATCACTGTAAGCAATAATAAGTTTTCTTTACACTTTGACGTTTTTATTTGCAATAAAGGAGACTCATGAACATATTGCAAGAAATTCGACAGGAAATTTATTTTTAAAAAGCAGCATGCTTTATTTAAATAATCTTCACAATGCAGCTGTTCTAAATAACTTTTTATTATACTGACCCAACATGTTTCTTGTTAATTACAGAGAAGTGGGATGGTTTAATCTTCTTATGGCAGAATAGTTTCATTATGATGTTTCTGGGTTGTAGGTATGTTCAACATCAGAGTTTTATTTGGGAAACATTTGTCCTGAAAAAAATTGTCCTCTCAGAATAAAGAAAATCTCATGGCTTGAATCAAAAACACATCTCCAGATGCTTTTAATAAAAGTAGATTTGTGGTTATACTTTTACAGCTTGGTTTCTTTTAACATGTGATTGCTTAAAACGGCACCTTATTAAGTCAGTGGTCTTGAAAACAAACAGTATTTGTACTGCAAATAAAGTTAAATTATGCTTTAATACTTGAAATAGTATATCTAGAATTTCTGCAGTTGTAGCCAATAGAACAGTCAGAGGAAAATTTGCCCTTCTCCCCCCGTTTCTCTGGAGTATTGCTCTCGCTCTTTCTCTTTTTCTTTTTTTCTTTTTTTCTTTTTTTTTCTTTTTTTTTTCCTTCCCTCCTCTCTAGTCACTGAAAACTTAAGACTGAATCAAAATTTGTATTTGATTGATGAGACCTTTCTCACTTCAGTGAGATCTGGCTTTTGATATTTTGGTCAGACTTGATTTCTAACAGAACCTAGCAGGCTCCTGGGACTGCCATGTGAACAAAATCAAGGTTGAGGAAGTTTTTGCATTCAGAATGAAAGCAACTACCTATTAGACTCTGTGAAATACGGAGATCTCTCTTGAACAAAATTTTAGGAAGTTTCTTAGTTTCTTTTCTTTGTTCTCATTGTGGAATTCTAGGCAGCCAAACTTAACCATTTAACCACTAACTTAACCATTAAAGCACAAACTTTATGTAGTAATGAGATTATGACTAATATATTTATGAATAGGTATAGGATCCACTGTAATGATGAATCTCGAATCTAGAGAAGCACTGGAGACAACTGGCTAAGAATTGTATTACATGCACGTGGAACTTGACTTGATATTTACTCGAATAGCTACATGTTCGCAAGCAATGACTGGAGATAGCCAGGATTTCAATTTCATCAGTAAGAGGTCAAATTGAAAAAGTTAAAACTGTTATCTCCATGAAAATGTCTGTTGAAATTTTTTGGGAGATGAGGAAAATAGATGACGGTAGATCCGGGCTATTTTTCCCCTCCCTTTTAACCCCTTCAGAAACCATAGGGCTGATTAAGAATGTCCTTTAAATAACACAGGAGAGTGTAATTGGAGAGAGGAGGAAAAAAAAAAAGGATTGGGATAGGAGAATGAAGAAAAGGAAGACCATTCAAAGAGGAACAAACACAACTATTTGACAAGTGATTGTCAGGGCAGAGAGAGCTGGGTAGAGTCTCATTCTGAGGCTCTTTTAGGAGGTCATCAGTAAGATCAGTCTTGAGTGAGATGGCAGGATAGGTTTTAAGGCAGGTTATGATGCTGGTACACCTTCTCTGTGAATGGAAGAGACTTGAATTGCTGGAGGTTGGGGCACAGTTAAGGGGAAAATAAGAGATGAGAACTGGAATTAGGCTACTGGTTTTGGTAGCAGGAGTACAGAACAGCAGCACACAGGCAATATCCATATCTGTCATGGGGAGAAGGAGGCAGGGGAGGGAAGTGTAAACTTTGGAGATTGATATTCAGTATGGAACCAATATATGTTTTAGGAGTGCTATGGTGATTTACTCAAGAGTGAGTTAATCCTGTTATGTGACGTGTCCAAGTATTAGACATTTTGATTAAATTGAGAGATTATCAAATACATACTTCTGTGGTTATGATCTCATTTAAGACCCTGCTTTTCTGCAAGATGGATTTTTGTAATTGATTCCATTTTAAAATGAGAAATCAAAAAACTTCTCAGTTCTCCCTGTCCTGATTTTGGCTAAGAGTGTTCTTTTTCATAAAGCTAGTTTTACCAAGGGGGCTGCACTGTGTATTTCACGTGCAAGCTTTGATGGTATCTTCAGCAGCCCATTTCTAAACTCCATCAATGCCTGTTTGTATTTTGTTGCTATGAGATACCTCTATTCTATCTCTACCACAGAAAGGAGTGGCTTTAAAATGCTAATATATACTGTCTTAATTTTCAATATTTTCAGTTTTCCTTTGTATGTTTCAGGCCATCTGTTTCACAGCCTATGCTTCAACTACTTGGTGTTACTCAGACAATCTGCTTGAAAAAAAATCCATACCTTAGTGAAGTTTCCTTGAGGAGGGGGTAGGAGAGTCACTGACTACAGTGTCTTTCTTCCTAATTGGTGACCCTTTCAGACACCTTTCACTGGGCTCTCTAGCGGATGAGATTGAGCAGAGGGTTTGGACTAAATGATCTCTGGAGATCCCTTCCAACCTCAACTGTTCTGTGATTCTGTGATTGCCAGTGCCCCAATGCAGAATGTGGTCTGCGCTAGACGGCAAAATACTTTGCAGCAAACTTTGGCCTAATCTTGTAAAGGCAGAACTTCATATTGGCTGTGAGTTGAATTTATGGTGAATTGATGGAAATGTGTGGGATAACTAACTCCTCCAAGGTGTGTGGGAGTCTATTGTTTTTTTTCTGCAGACAGAAAATACTGAACACGAGACAAGTTTTTCTAGTGTGTTATTTTCATTTATTAAAAAATGGGAACTTGGAAACTGAATGGAGTCACATGATGTTAAAACACTCTATGATAAGGCAACAGGCCTTTTAGCTGAAGAGACTGTCTCATCTCTTGGCTTCAGCAAAGCCAGTGTCTCGTGGCATTCTGAAAGTCTGGGAAGCTTTTGCTTTAGATGAAATTATATAACATATACATAAAGTGTTATGAAGGAACTGTAGAAGATTGGCATGAATAATCCTCTGTCAAACTGATGTGTCTTTTAGTTTAAACAGCTTTTCCTTACCTCTTGCACATTGTCTTAAATATAACTCCAGAGAAAAAGAAAAATATTTTCTATCATCTGCAAAGAAATAGTGGATTTAAGTAATGGCAAAGAAAGCTTTCAGTAGGTTTTAAGAAACTCAGGCTTCCAACAAGAATCCTGGCTTTCTGGAGTGGATGGTCAAGGGAACTTGTGGAATTTCCATCATGAAATGCTCTTCAGAACAGGTTAAACAGGCATCTCTGCAGAATAATGTGGGTATAGCTGTTCCTGCCTGAGGCCAAGAGACTGGATAAGTTGACCGCCTGAGGTGTCTTCTAAGCTTCTATTTTGTATGTTCATATGAGTGTGTTGGGTTTTTTGGGTTTTTTTGATCATTTGTTTACCTCCTTTTTTTTTTTTCCTCTCTCTCTCCTTCTTACATATGAGGTCAATTTCAAATAGTAGGATTCCATATCAGATGCTCATACTGCAAAACAACCACAGGTCCCACTGAATACTAAAACTGTGTCAAAATCTTCTTCTGTGGGAAAGATAACTTAATGAGCTGTAACAAAGAGGTTCTTGCAGGCATTTTTGTTGTTACCTGTGACTGCATCCTATCAGTACTCCAACTGCCCTTAATACTGCTGCTGGAGAATCTTGGACTAAATTGTAATGTATTTGCAACTCTGGGTGACGCTTCCTACTTTGAAATGTACTTACTTTGAAAACTTCAGGATGCTGTTTACGGGAGTGGCAGGCAGAAAGAGTGGAAACATGGACAGAAATAACCTGGAGGACTAAGGGAGGAGACAGAGCAGCCTGCGTTTTTTGTGGGCTGTGCTTTCTTCTGAAACTTGGGCAGACTGCTCTGAGGCATTACCAGGCTGTTATTAATGTAAATCTCCAGTTTGTTACACGTAGTGTCTCATGAATGAAGTGTTACATATGTAGGATGTTTTTTAAGGTCTACCTATGCAAATTGAAGGACAACTGTTTAAGTGGTGAGTGTTCATTTAATGAAGAGCTGCTAAATATTCAATTTAATATTTGTGAGTCAACGTTATTAATTTTGTCATATTCTTTAGGGACTACCTATTATTTTAGTTCTGTCTTCTAAACATCACATTATCCCTGTTCCATCCCCAGGAGCCTATGGGACAGTACAATGCCCTGTTTATGCATGGGAACCCGAGGCGCAGACAGAGAATGGTTAAAAACATCTACTTCATTTTGAGTAGGGGTGTAGGGTGAGGCCTCTTTCAGAGGGTTTAGTGTTACGTTGAAGTACTTGCCTCTTGAATACAGCATTTACTGCTTGTCAAACACAGTCTGTCAGGAAAAGTGAATTCTCTAGCATCGTTTTGTTAGGACTTTGTACCTTGGCAGAATTCTTGTTTGCTTGTTCTGTCTTACAAGTCTTTCAGCTATTAACTACAGGCTTCTAGCTTCCACAGTAAGTTACAGGAGGGCCTACTGAATGTACACATTGGGAGTTCTGTATAAAGTGGAGACATTTAAGAGGGGAAGTATATTAAGTGCTATTTTCCAAGTATTTTTAATGATCAGATCATAATATATATGCAGCATGGAGATAAGGTGAGTTCAGTTAATGCATGCAGTTTTTGAGTGCTTGGCTTTGTAGCAAGCCACGTCTGCTAACATGGAAAGGAGTGGGAATAACTCTGTGTACACTGGTATAATATTATTTGTGCACACTTTTCAGGTGGAGCAAGGAATTTGAATTGACGTTTACTTCAGAGTACATTAGTATCTGGGCTTTTAGTGCTGGGCTTTGTCCTTTCCAGAGCCCGTGCCACTCTTTCTTCTGTTTCTTTTCTATTACCTACTCTTCATTCCCTTGTTACTTGATGTTAGTCATTCTGAGTGTTGCTAAAGAGAAGAAAAAAATATTTTTTTACTTAGTAGCTGTCTACTTTCCATCTGGAATAGCTGGGAGCAGTTACTGTAGAGAAAGTCATCTTTTGATGTTGTAATTTTGAGTGAAGAGCGGCTGGTTAGTACCTCTGTGGGAAGGCTGCCTGTACAACCTGATGAGCACTGCAAGCTATGGGGGGTAAATTAGCATAGAGAGTAGTGACTCTTCAGAGATTTCTAGCTCCAGCAGTTTTACTAAGCAAGTAAAATGCTATTCAAAATAAGATTTTTTTTTTTCTTTGAAGTTTGCCATTTGTCTAAAAATATTTAGTTAAATTGTGAAATCAGCTCCACTGCACAAAGGGTAGCACACCTGTGAAGGTTAGGTTACTGTGCCAAAGCATCAATTTATTTCTAACACTTAAATACTCTGATTTCAAACATCTAATATAACCAAAACTTGTTCCTTCCCTCCTAGCCTTATTCGCAAATAGAACCGAACCATTTTGACTGAGGGGAGAACTAAATCAGAAAACCCAATCAATCCCATGTACCAAAGATCACAAAAATTCAACACAAAAGACTTTAAGACTAGAGATTTGATAGAGTTGCAAGAAGCCAAAAAGTTCTTCCATCAGTAATGTTAAGGAACCTTAATCATATGTTTTCCTGTAAAGGAGGGTTTTAAATTTTACCCATATTCTTATTCATGACATTTTAAAAATACTCCTTTTGTTTTGTTGTCTTTCAGATGATATTAACTGTGTTTCTGAGCAACAATGAGCAAATTTTGACAGAAGTTCCAATTACACCGGAAACAACCTGCCGTGATGTAGTAGAGTTCTGCAAAGAACCCGGGGAAGGAAGCTGCCATCTGGCTGAAGTATGGCGTGGAAACGGTAAGAGAAGTGGTGGGAAATGATTTAAATATATTTGTCATGTATGAAAAGGTAAAACTCTTCTACCTGAATGATTTCAAATTTTATTTTGCTCTTTTTGTAGTAAACTTTAATGCAAAATACTAAGACTTTTGAATGTGGAAATTCATTATCTGTAAAGATGAATACATTTTCCTTGACCTTTTTTGATCCTTCCTCAGTGTGATAAAATGTTCATGTTAGTAAAATATCAGTGCTCTGAATTTCAGATTTTCAACTTACATAAGCAAGTCAGAGGACTCGGTATTCCCATTCTCTTCACATTTCTTCTCTCTCTCCCAAGTAAAAGGTGGGAGTAGAGTTCAGTTCTAAAGTCATTGCTTACAAATAAGCATACAAATATGTAGGATGGAGAGCATTTAAATGACAATATGGAATCTCAATGATCCCTCACAAGTGGGTGCAGATCACTACCTGCATTTCTTTCTAATCCTGTTTCCTCTCTGTGAGGCATATGAATAGGACCTGTGACTTGAGCAAAGGGTTTTTTTTTTCTTCTTCTTTTTTTTTCCCTTCTCTATCATGAGTAATAGAAGATCTGCAATCTGAATTATGCCAGAATGTGGCATATATATCCAGCCAGAAGCTGGGTGCATTTCCACAGCTTCTTTGTGAACGTTTCCCCTCAAAGGTTTGACAGTCACCCTGGGGCAGGGGGAGGCAGCGGTGCCTGGCTCCTGGTTGTGCCGCAGTTGTTATCTTGCGGAATAATTGGATAGGCAGTTTTCTCTGAAATGTGTCAGAAAAACTATTATGGATTCTTTTTCTAGATGAGTTCTTTCAATTATGTTTAGTCCAAGAATCCTGGATATAGTATATCGGTATATAGAGGTTATGGTATATCAAGATACGAATGTGAGTGGAATCATTGTGTGGGTGAGGACTGTGTTTTCGTAGGATCTTATCCTTCAGTTACTATGGCTGTCATGACTTGATTCCTAAATCTTCCATAGAAATGAGTAGTGTTGCTTTTTTGTTTGTTTCTTTGCTTTTGGGCTTTTTTTTTTTTTTCTTCAGCTGTCTTTCTGTCAGAGAAACCTATTGCATTCTTCTAGAATATCTTTTTCTCCCAGAAACTGTTCTAATACTTGGTCAAGGCAAAAAGTGCCTCAAAGAGTAATTTCCTAATTGGATTTGAACTTGCAGAATTTAGGCAAGAGTTAGCAGAAGAGAAGTTAAGAATGTCTGCAGTTCTGGGATACAAATTCAGTTCATATTTAGAAAACTTAAAAGGGGCTTAAGACTCTTTCAAACTGGAAGTGATGAGTCTGTCACATGTATAGATTTATGAAATTGATCTGCAGATTAAGTGTTGAATAGCCCTGGAATATCCCTAGTATCCTGCAATCAGTTGTTTGTAAAAATGTAACCTGTATGTTTCTCTCTTGTTCCTGCTTCTGGCTTTACAGTGCTTTGAGGGGATGCTTCCTCAAAAATGCAGAGAATGTTATCAGCCAGCTTCAAAGGATGGAGGGTAACTACTCAGTGATCCACAGCATTTTGAAACACTTAGGTCTGGCAAACAGAAGCACACATTTTCCATAGTAGCTACTAAGATTGATAAAATACTTATTTGTGGATATAACACATAATTTCTCAAAAGATTTGAGGCTAAAAGTTCCTATCAGTGTCACTACAAAGAAATAAACAATCTCCAGAAAGATACAGTGGAGTGTCTAAGAGTAAATTTAGCTGTTTGCCAATTTGAGTCATGTCCTGCCATAATCAGTAGAGATGCAGTTATTGCATTAGTGAAACATAAGGATATTCAAATACAGCAAGTGATCCAGTTTGGTGATATCTTCCGTTTCTTGAGTTCTCAAACCGGCTGGTGTTGCTGGCAAAAAATGGTGGCCTGCATGGCAGCTTTGATGCTCTCTAGCAGGAATTTCACCACACGCATCTTAATTTGTTTTACTTAAACGTAGGCTACTGTCTTAAGGTCTGTGTGATGGTGGGATGCGAGGCTTCTCAGTGAAACAACCTGAAGCATTTTTTTAACATGGCAGAACAAGATATTTTTTCCTTCAGCTGTTCCTGAGAGCAAAGGTAAAAATCTTTTTACTGAAGCTTTTAAAAATAATTCTGCCTGGAACAGAGATCTGAAAACTTGCATATAAAGAGTTAAGCTCAACAGTAACAAACAACTGAAACTGTAGTTCAGAGTGGGAAGTGTGAAGAGACTTGCAAAGGAGTTGTTGCATGCTGTGCCAGGAAGAAATATATATGGAGAAATGGATTTATTTTGTGTCTGATCCCTCAACCCTGATCCTCAAGAGAGGTCTACAAGTCTACAATTTTTTTTTTTGTCAAAAGACTTTTGAAAAGTTAAGATTAAAACAATAATTAATAGAGAAAGTCATGGATTGGTGTGTGTGGATTTTTAAATTATTTTTTTTGGTAGCACCCTATAAATGCTTGTCTTTCTTACTAATCTCTGCTTATTGCATAGGTGATATATCATTCTCTTTTCTCATAAGATAGAACCACCTTTTTTTCTTAATGTTCTTGACTTCTCTCTTCTGCAGGTAGCCACAGCCACCTCTTTTTGACAGTGTCACTACATATAATAATAATAATCCATACCTAGTTGAATTCAAAGTAATTAAGTTTGTAGACTGTAGTTTTTATATTGGATGAGAGACGTTTGTGTGCCCAAAATCTTGTCAGTTTTTCTAAACGGTATCTAACTAATAAGTGTATTTTCTCCTAATAGTCTTCACTTTATCTGCACACACATTCATATACAGGAATGCAGGATTTTATTTTTAGAGGGTGACAGAAATAGGCCATTTCCAGGAAAACGCTGCTCTAAAAAATCCATGTAACTTTGTGTCCAAGATTATGCAAAATTCCTCAAACTTAGAGGAAACTTAGTGTTATATATCTATTATCTTTGCTTTTCTGTGCTTGTGTGTATATGTAGCAAGGAAATGGTTGAGAAGCTTCCCAAGAGCTGGAAAGTAATTGAGCATAGTTAGTATTGTGGTTAAAGAACTTTTTTTTTTTCCTCAGTTTGCTTAAAAAAGCAACAAACAAACAAACAAAAAACCCCATAATATTTGGTGTCTGTACTTTGTTCTGATAGATTGGTACCTTCTGTAGCACCTGATGCTTTGCCAATTTGACATTTTCTTCTCTTGTATGTATTTCTCAGGATGTAACAGGAGGAGAAGGCTCAGAATTATCTTCCTTATTCCCCAGCTATTGCAAATTGCAGCTGGAAGGAGCTTGTAAGACAAGTGTGATGCCAGGAACCTGTAGTGCATTCCAAAAGAAAGTCGGTTTCGATCTTTAAAATCCACCCACTATTCAATTACCCACTTCCATTTACTTCTGCAATACCCTTCAGCAACTGGTATTGTTGATCTTCCTGTGTTTAGCTGTAAAACAGAGTCACATGGCTGAAAGAAATAGGTGTTTACTGGAAGTGTAATTCTGCAAACCTTGACCACTTGGAGTGGGGGTAAGTGGTGAGGGAAAATGCATTCCTGGAACGGCAGGAAAATCCTGACTGAGACTTACCATGTGTTCTGGTTTTGGGTATAGCAGATAGAAACATTTATTTCAAAATGGTAGGATAGTTGTAATTGGGATAAAATGAGATTCTGGAATTGCTCTAATTTAATATCATGTATGCAGTTAGAGCAGAAAAAGGATTTTTTTTCTTTTATGCATTTTTCCCATCGGTGTGGTTACCTGTGTGAGTTTTTCAGGGTGTTTCAGACATAACAAAATACTTGAAACTTGCTCATTCTCAAAATTCTTTATTAAAAAGAAAGGGTTCAAATTCACTTTTTAGGATAGTTTTCCAAAATTTTCATCCAACTCAATCTAGCGCATCTTTTGCAAGTGACTGTGTGTATGTGTATCTTCCAACAGTATTGGAAACACAATTGCTGACAGGCACGTCTAGAGCTTTAAGAACTGCAAAGTTCAAACTGCATTATTACTATTATTATTGAATATTAAACAACAGGTGTTTCTGAAAAATATTTTTTAATGCTAACATAACTTACAGCAAGTATAAGATAATGCTTTCTGTCTGCAGCTTTTTTTCATTTTAAAGGAGTTATTATGGACTTCAGCGCTCATCGTATCTTGTGTCAAGTGTTACTGTCTATTTGAACGTCCTATTTTTAGAAGTTGTTTTTTTTGTGGCTAATTTGCACAGGACAGTTAGTGCCTCTTCATTCTTTTTATTTTCCTGTTTCAGTTGCATTCTGACCTTGCGCTCTGTCTAGTTCACAGCAACATATTCCAAGTTGTTTTGGTGAAAGAATTGCAAAAGTGGTACAAAATGTCTCTCCCTTTTCTCTCCATTGATGTGTCAGAAATATTAGCCTTCATTCTTCAGGGTACTTTGTGTAAATAGAACCTTTTATTTGGAATAGCTTCAAGGACTGAGGCCTTGACTTGGATTGGGGAAGCACCATAGCCAGCAGTGGTGGCTGCATCTGCTCCCCCCATGCCAGAATTAACCCCACACTGTTTTGAATCAGACATCCAGGTTCTGGATACTTTACTATCGAGCCACAGTTCTTGTGAGATTCAGCTAGCGACTTCTTTCTTGGTTAAAAATTCCAAAAGCTTCAGTTCTTCTGCCTAAAGCCTCTGGACTAAACCATTCAGGTATTTTATCCACTGTGATCTTTATAAGACTCACACTGCAATTTTAGTTAATACACTTCAAAGCACTTGAAATCTTATGGTACTTTGGGAGTTGAAAAACCTGAAAATCATGTTTTTGAAGTTCCTTTTCAAGAACGGAGCTGTCATAAGCCACTGACTATGTTCATGTGTGTGTAGGTAATATTGACAGTAGTTCTTAGAATCCACTTAAGTGAGGGACAAGAAGAAGAAAAGCATTTTTAAACTGTTTTTTGATCTATTTAATTAGTCTGTGATTTAAATGACTATTGAAAGTAGCTAGAGCAAACTATTGCTTATCTGTTCTATTCACACATCTATATCCTGTGAAGTCTTCTTAATCTAGGTAGTGCAGGAAATAGTAAACAGATAGTGGTGGCTAATCTGTTTCCTCCCTTGTTAATCTTTTGGAGCTTGTACCTGGAGGCAAATCTAAAGGGTTGTTTGTGTTTTATTAACCTTTCCCTCTGCTGTTTTGATACCTACTATGTTTGTTAGTGTTTTGTCTATATCTTTGGATATTCCCAGAGTATAAAAATTTAAACTTGAGCAAGAAAAAGGCATACAGAGAAAGGTTATTATTAGATGTGAGGAGAAAATTTCTGCCCTGGAAACATTTTGGTTCATTTCCCTGTGGAGTTTTTTTTCTATCATTTTTCAGATGAAAAATAATCTTCTCTTCCTCTCCTGTCCAAAGGCAATCTAAGCTTTAAAAGGAAATACTTTCAAAACTACCTGCTATGGTGTCATTAGCAGACCTGGATTTGAGAATAACTGAAACGAGGGAAAAATGCAATTAGAAGAATGTTTTTAGATTTAAACAAATGTGTCTGCAGAGTGCAGTGTCTGAAGAATGTTTATTCTGTTCTTCAGTTAAATTATTCCTCAGATTGTTGTTACACGTGAAGTCAGTGACAGCCTAAGAGGCTGTCCTGTGGCGGTGGTAAGATGAAGGAAGGAAGATGAAGGGCTTGGGGCAGTTGCAGAGAAGGGATACTTGAGCATCAGAAGTGAGCAGCATTCCTCAAGAAATAGTGAATGTGAAGAATTCCTCAAGAAAAAGTGAATTTGATATTTTTGAAATAATTGTAGAACTGAATTTCCCTAAAAGCTTTGGACTGTGTATGGAGAGAAGTATACTTATGTACCAATCACCGCTGTTTTAATAATATTTATTATCATTGTGTAGCTTCTGCTGTATAGATTTGACTGATGCAGTCAGCAACTAAATGTTTTTTCTTGATATATTGAGCTTTCTGTATCTTTAGTGTATGACATTTCTTTTGATAAAATGTTTCTGATACTCCTTGGTGTTAATAGCAAACAGCTACTTCTGGGAGGCTCCACTGTCCTGGAATCATGTTTGTTGTGTAGGAAGTGCTTGACACAGAGCAAGGCACAACCCACCCCTACCCCACCTTTTTTTTTTTTTTTTCTTTTTTTCCT